GTATGTTGGCTAGGAATTTTGGTAGGAAGATTCACTCTGGTGGCGGAAATCAGTATGATCGTCAAGGAAGTGATCGTGGTAATGGTAGAAGAAGAGACTCTATCAAGTGCTACGAGTGCGAAGGAGTTGGTTGTGAGGGCTGACTGTCATGTGGCACAACGAAAGGAACTTAAGTGTTCTGAGTGCAGAGGTGTTGGACACACAAGGTGTGAATGTCCAAACTCAAAGAAGGGAAAAGAAGCTTAGTCGTCTAATGATTCAGAGTCTGAAGTAGATGAAAAGGTGTTGAAGAACATGGTTGCATTTGATGCACGCAAGGAGGGATCTAGTGAATCCTCAAATTCAGATCACAATACAGATGATGAGGAGTACCACGTGTTGTTCAACAAGTGGTTGAGGGTCAGGGATCAGAATCTGAGATTGGAGAGTGTGGCTCAGAAGCAAAATGAGTTGCTTGAAGAACTTCATGAAGAACTTGCGGCTGTAGAAGAGAAGAATGAGTCTCTTGAAGAGGAAGTTAGCAAGCTGAGAAGAGTTGCTACTGGTGAACAAGAAAGAGCAAGGAAGCTGGAACGTGATTTGGCTGAGAATCACAAACAAATCAGAATGCTCAATAGTGGATCCAAGGAGTTGGATAAGATACTATCAATGGGACAATCAGCCAAGGCGAATTGGGGACTGGGATACCGAGGAGCTGAGAGTACTAGAGTACATCAGAAGGGGATGTCACACTTTGTGCATGGGAGCACATCGAAAAGTGGAACCAAGGAAGCTTGTCAGGAAGTGCATCAGGACGTACGACAAGGAATACGGTAGGAAGTTCTACAGCGTGTGGTTGTGAGTAACAAGCCGAAAGTGGTACATCAATACAGCAACATGAAGTTCAGACATGAGGTTCTGAAGCATGGTTGTGCATCTGGTACAAGGAAGGAGACTGATCAGTGCATCAACAACTGTGTCAGGCCCAAGAAAAAGCAACATAGGATGTGTTGTTAGTTTTGTGGGAAGGTTGGACTCAAGAAGGTAGAGTGTTTTGCTCATGAGAAGAGCAGAAACATGGCCAAGAAGGTGAACAAGACGTTCATTAAACCCAAGAGGGTTGAAGAGGTGTTCTTAGCCAAGTGTGGCTTACTTGATAAGGTCAAGAAAGGGACATCAGAGAAGGGTGCAGCTCTAGTGAGAGTGATCTTGAGGTTGATCAAGAAGCATCAAGTCTGGAGCCAGGACACGGAGCTGTTTGTGGTTCAAAGGGGAAGGAGGTCGAAGTGCGTCAGGAAGTGATGCGAGATGATCTTCAG